ATTATTATTATTATTATTATTATTATTGCTTTGTGAACCAAGTCTCACTCTGTAGTTTAGGCTGGTCTTAAAGTCTTTTTTTTTTTCCTGTGGTGAGCTCAGCCTGCCCTGGGTGGGGTCAGGGCTGGCACAGCATGTGTGCCAGGATCTAAGCAAGGTCCCTGTGCTTTGCCTAAGTTTGCCTGAGCAGGCACTTTAGACCACTGAGCTATCTCACTGGTCTGGTCTTAAAGTCTTGAACTCACTTAAGATGGTCTTGAAGAAATGGCAGTCCTCCTACCTCAGCCTCTTGAGTGCTAGGATTATAGGCATGCACCACCACACCTAGCTGTATCTTGTTTCTTGATCTGTCCTACCTGCCTGTGTCTTTTGATTGTTGAGTTGTTATCTTGTAAATTGATGGTTGTAACTGGTGTGTATTGACTTATATATCATGTCATGTCATGTTATTTTCTTGTTGTTGGCTCCCTTTTTTCCCTCTGTTTAATTGCTTGCTTTGTCTCATGGATTCATTCTGTTGGAGTTCACGGAGTTTTAGTCTTCGTTATCTCTTTCTAGAATCTCCTTCACAACATTTTGGAGTGCCTGCTTAGTGGTCATGAATTTCCTCTGGTGTTCTTTGTCGTGAAAGTGTCTTATTTCTGTATCTATTTTGAAAGATAGTTCCATGAAGTATATCAATGGAGATTATTTTCTTTTAGGGTTTATAATACTTCAAGCTCTCCTTACTTGACTTGAGTGTGTGCTAAGGAGTCTGCTGTGATTCTCATAGGCTTTTCTCTACATGTGATTTGTTTCTTTTCTCTAACAGTTTTAATATTCTATTCTTGTGTGTTGAATTTCTGGAATCTTCACTATTGTGTGCCTTTGTTTTGATTGTAGTTCACTGGGGTTCTGTATCCTCACTTACCTGTATGTCAGGTTTTTTTCCCCCATGCTTAAGAAGCTTTCTACCATTACTTTTGTGAACAGGTTTTTTACGTCATTTGTACACTCTCCTGCTTTTTCATTGCTTCTGATCCATATTAGTGTTATTCTTCTATGCATCACCTAGTAGCTGCTGGATTGAATTTTTGTGGTCCCTTGCTAGTTTTAAGAAATGTTTTCATGATAGTTAACTGCAGTCCTATCTTCTGCTGTGTATACTTTCAATGAAATTTTTAATCTCCTAGATATCTTTTTGCAGACAGGGGATTGAACTCGGGCCCTTGTGCTTGCCAGGCAAACGCTTATTCTACTGAGCTATCTCCCCGGCCCCTTCCTAGATATCTTAATCTGTTTTATGGATTCCATTTCTTTCCTATATTGAGCATTCATAATTTCTGTCCTTTTCCTAAGCTCCTCTATTTTTTTTATCTGTCTGCTGTAGAGTTACTGAGCACATCTTTCTTATGGCCACCATCTCTACTGTTATCTGAGAAATTATTATTATTTTAGTTTTCTAGAGCCTCCTTGATTTGGTTTGTTACTTCCAGTGTTACCACTTTGGAGAGTCCAGGTGGGTGGGGACTGAATTCATTGCCCCCTGGGCTTGCTTTTGGTAAACTAGGAGTCTGGGGCTGCATCTTGCTTAAGTGTCTTCTGATTTTTTTGTTGTTGTTCTTAAGGTTAATTCCTGGATTGATGTGCATAAATTGTTGGTAGCAAGTAGCTTTATTGCTAGAATTTAGCACCTTAGGAAATGACTACTTCTCAGAGGTGCCTTCTAGGTGCAGATGGCCTTTAAGTTTTGAGCCTATTGTAAAATCCTACCCCTTCAATTTACTGGAGATGAGAAATTGTTGCCTATTTGACCTGGTCCTTTGGCAGTAACCTATAGTATTGTTTATGACCCCTAGGCAGTCTCAGGCTTGGCATACTAGGAAAAACAACTGCTTAGGCCAAGTATGTTACCTTGGATAAAGTGCTATAATCAGCAATAATCATAGCATCAAACATAGCTTAGAAAATGACAAACTATGATAACTATTAGTTTGCCACCTTTAAGTGTATTAACTAGATTTGTGGTTATGTAACAAAATCTAAAATAAACCAGAATATTATATATGGTAAATATGCCCTCAATAAGGTGATTTTTCCCTCAGGGGAGAAAATGTAAAAGATAGAAAGTTTAAAAAATAGAGAAATAGAAGAAGAGGAAGAGATTAGAAATAAGGCCGGGGAGATAGCTCAGTAGAATAAGCACTAAGGCCCTGAGTTCAATCCCTGGTACTGCAAAAAAGGAAAAAAAGAAATAAGGCTGGAGGACAAAGGAAAATTATGTGAACTTTGTGAAACTAGTAAAGTGGACAGGAGGGAAAGATTTTACTGTTTTTTTTTTTTTTTTTTTTTGGTTGAATTGTTTTTTAGAGGAAGTTTATTTATTGTTTTTGGTGCAGAGGACTGAACCCAGGGCTTCCAGCTTGCTAGGCAAGCATTCTACTGCTGAGCCAAATCCACAGCCCCATGGAGGGAAAGAAAAGGAAAAATAAAATCAAAAACAGAAAAGAACAATAAAATACTAGAAACAATGTTTACACTCATAAAAACAAAAACTATCAAGAAAAAAGAAAACAAAATGACAAGGAAAAGGATGGGGAAAGGAACATTAAAAAAAAAAGTCCACTTCAAAGAGTATCTGTACTATTTACTAGCACACAGTTGGTAGAGCCCAGATTTGTGTTAATCCCAGCAAGCTAGCCATAGATTCATGGCAGAATAGTGGATAATCCCAGTAACCCTGTACCTTTAGTTTCACTGAAGTTCAGGCAGGTTTCTGACTGTGAGCCTGGACCTGTTTTGTTCAGCCTACAGCACTCCCAGTGGCTCTTGAATTCAGCTTCTTGACCTCCTGTCAACTTGAACTCGTTCCACCTAACGCTGGCACTAGGAGCTGGTAGATGGAGCCAGCCCACAGCTGTTCTGAACTCTGAGTTCAGTTGCTCCCTCTCCAGGGTGGATGAATACTGGCCAGTTGCCCTCTCCTGCACTCTCCTGCGGGGTGAGGGAGTGCAGAGAGGGGGCATCTGAACCTGAATAACTCCCCAGCCACTGTAGTCCGCTGTGTTCTACTGGTGCATTTTCTGTGGACCCCCTGGAGTGGGCAGTAGGCACCATGCATGTGCAGGTGTTAGCCACCACTCCCCTGTGATGAGTCGGGACTTGGAGAAAATGCTGCTTGCCGCCTCCTGCTTTGTTGGAGTCTTTCTCTTCACTCTCCCTATTGGCTTCAGTTTTCACTTCAGATCCTTGCTGAGTCCCCGGGACCCACTTTACTCCTTCTCTTCATGTTGCTGCTTTCCAGCATCTGGGCACCAAATGTCCTTTGTACCTTTTAAATTAAAGACAATATAGAATATTCTGTTAAATTACATTGCTTCTACATACTCTTGTGATTGTTATTTCCCTGTAATTCTGAGCCTGCTTCTCCAAAGATTATTTCTTCAGAGTGGATGTATTTTTCTTCTATTTCCTGAAACAGTTCAAATGATTTAGAAGGAAATAGAGAAAAATTTAAGTTTTAAATCTTTTTCATCTGTTTTAAAGAAAATTCCTTAACTTCTAGCAGTTCCCAGAACAACATCATTTGTTTTTATTCCCCTTTACTATTGTCTTTGAAACTGATTAAACTTATAGGCTGTTATATTTAGCGGCTTTATAGCTCCATACAGTTTTTTTTTCTTGTTTGTTCTTGTCAAGATTGCATTTTCATTGTTATATAGACTACTTACTTTCCTATTTGCCTGTTTGTTCCTTTCCATTTTTCCAAAACTCCGGGACTTCTTAAAGGAGTGTTACAAAATTCTCAGAATATGTTATGAAAAATAATAGTGATAAGAATTTTGAGAGCAATTTTTCTCTAATACAGTTTTAGAAGTTGTTTTATATTGTCTTTTCTAGTATTTTTTAAATTTATAATTAGATTATAAAGAACTGATCTGAATTTTGGCTATCTAGGTTTATAAAAAGATTAAAGAATTTTTTTTTGCAATAGGATTAATCATAGTTTTGTTTGTGATTTTGAAAACTGTCCATATTTGGGGAGGGATTAAAGAAATTATAGAAAGCCTTGGCATGTTGAAATTAATACATTATATATGGGTTTTTTTGTTTTTTTTTTCAGTCTCGTTTTTGTTTTTGCTTTTTTTTTTTTTTTTTTTTTTGGTATTGGGACTCTGAAGACCTTGCTCTTACCAGGCAGCACTGTGCCACTGAGCTATATTCCCATAACTGTTTTTGGTTTTTGAAACAAGGTCTTGCTCTGTAATTAAGGCTTGTTTTAAACTCACTATGTAGCCTCAACAAGCCTCAAACTCATGGTGATCTTCCTTCCTCACCTGTCAAGGCTGGGATTACTTATGTGCACTACCATACCTGGTGATATTATATACTTTTTAAAAAGTATTTTTTTAACTGTTATGTTAAGTGAAATAAGACCATCTCAGAAAGTCAAAATATTACTTTTTTTATATGATTAGTCTAAAAAATAACAAATTATAAATGATAGGAAACTATAAGGTAGACATTTAGAAATGTGGGATAGGATAAGGGGGGGAAGGAGAAAAACTGAAGAGTCATGGATATGAAAAATAGTCAAATTATGTTATGGGCATATACCAATATGCCAAAAATAATCTCATTCTGTATTATTAATATATACTAATAAAAGTTTTTACTTAAGGAATTTTTAAATATGAGAAAGTCAAATCCCAAGGGAATAAAAGTATGATTAAATTGTATAAATAGCTTGATTTTTAATTTATTAAATTTAAATATAATATATATATATATATATATATATATATATGCACTGTCAGTATACTTGTGTAGATGACTGGAAAGGAATATTCCTAAATATTTAAGAACAGCTTCCTGTATGGGATCATTTGTTACCTGTGATTTCCTTCGTGCCTTTAAGAGCACGTGTGGCCAGCATGGTTGTGTGTGCCCGGAAGCACAGCGCTTGGGAAGCTCAGCAGAGGGCGGTGTTTGAGGCCAGCCTTATTTCTGTAGCAAGTGTGAGGCTAGCTCTGGGCTACCCGGAAGACCGTGTCTCAGAAAACCACACACACACGTACATGTGCACAAACAACGGTAGAATTGCATTTGTTGGCCTTACTTTCTCTGAATGAGATCCATTTCTTAAGCTAGTGACCCCGCCCCCCCTTTTTTGGGGGGGGGGACACCAAGGGTTGAACTCAGAACCTTGAGCTTGCCAGGCATGCTGCTGAGCTACCTTCCTGGTCTAAGTGACCCTTTTTGAAAGAGTGGGGACTTTGATAACTATTAAGAAGAACCTGTGGTTGTTTTTTCTTCAGATCTTTCCATACTTATATTTCTGATTTTTTTTTTTTTTAAATCTGTTACTCTGTAACAGGCACAGGTTCAATACCAACAGCAACATGAGCAACAGAAAAAAGATTTAGAAGTCCTCCATCAGCGAAACATCCACCAGCTACAAAACAGAGTGTCTGAATTAGAAGCAGCTAATAAAGATCTAACTGAGAGGAAATATAAAGGAGAGTCCACTACTAGAGAGCTTAAAGCAAAGCTTTCTGGTGTTGAAGAGGTACTGTTTGTTGGTTTCTCTTCTCATTCTGATTTAAAAGTTTTAATTTGATCATTTTATTTTAATTTGATTATTTTAATATTTGTGTGGGTGGTGTTCTTGATTCTTTTCAGGGATCTCTTAGGGCATTAATGATAATTTCATACAATGCCAAAAATATTGAGAAACTGAAATTTGATAAAAAGTTAATTCAATTTGATAAAAAGTTGAAGTAAACCTTGATATTTTTAGTTAGGATCTTGAGGAACAGTGTACTGGCACAGATCTCAAATTTTTCACCTGGTTTAATGTGTATGTCTCATGGGATACTCATTGACAGAGTTAGTCCTTTCCTTAAATCTATACAATATATCAAACAAGTATATGAAGTTTAGTGTCAGGTAGTAGTAGTGATAAAGACAGTAGCTCTGTTTACTGAGTATTTGCTGTGTGGTAGGCACTATGTAAGTACTTCACATATATTAACTCAGTTCTTAACAGTTCTTAAAGGTGTGTACTGTTCCCATTTTACACGTGATCAAGCATGTCATGTGACATAACGTAATCCTCTTTGCCTGTTTCATGTGTAATCCATCTATTTTTTGCCTATTTTTAGTATGTCTTATTTTTCCAAGTGCCAAAAAGGTGCTTATCTTTTGAGATGCTGGGAATTAAGCAGGCTAGATAAGCCCTCTACCACTGAACCATACTCTCCAGGCCATCAAATTTAAGAATCTTGCTGTTATGCCATATTTGTTGATGCTTTGGTATTGATGATTATTTTCTCCCTAGGACAATTATTACATGAATTATCAGAAAATATGTGTAATTTTTTGTTATTGTATCTTTCTGAGACAAGGTCTTGCTCAGTTGCCTAGCAGACCTCAAACTCCTAGAATCAGCCATCTTCTTGCATCACCTTTCCACGCAGGGTGACTACCAGTATGTGCCACAGTGCCTAGCTAATGATGAAAGTCTTAGCCATATGTGAAAGCAGAGGTCACCATGCCTGTTTAGTGGCACACATGTAATCTCAGTTCCTTGTGGAAACCCTGCCTCACAGTATGTTTAAAAATGAAGTGGGGATATGGCTCAATTGTAGCGCACTTGTCTAACGTTCATGAAGCTTGCATCCAACCCCTAGCACCTCAAAAATAAATAAATATAAAACATCACCAATTTTCCTTTTCACTAGTCAGTAGTGCTTAGAAGCTCCAGGCTAAAGCATAACCTATTTTATGTTCACATCCTCACAGAATTCTGCCCTAAAAGATATCTACAGTTTTCATTCCCTATTAACTTTTTTCACAGTAGTCACTAAAACATTTCAGACTTTATGATACAGGGGTAGTTTAATTACCTCATTGTAATGCTATTTATTTCTTCAGTTGTAACCCTAAAACTGTCCACTTTGTTGGCAGTCTTTAATGCTGTTTTTTATATAATCTAATCAAAAGCTTTGCATAGCACTTGCAAATGATTGCTTAGATTTTTTTAAACGTGTAAGTATTGAGTTACCTAATTATATAAAATTACATTTTTAGCTATTGATGCCCTAAAAGTAATTGCTACCATTAGTTTTCTACTACATTTCAGTGACTATGCTAGGCAATTCTGTTTTATAATTGAGGGAGCTGAGACTTGAGGATATGTAATTCCCAAGATGACACTGTAGGTGCGATCTGATTTGAATTTAAATCTACCTTTTTCCGTCCCTGTGTTCCTAAAACAATAATAGTACTACAGCACTATAAAATTCTCCTTTGGAATTTTTGTTAAAAACTGTAACTATAAAAATGCTATATCTTGAACATTTGTGTACCACTGTTACTTTGATTGGTATTAGCTAATTGAGAAGTGATTTATTTCAGGTTTTAGTTTTTTTTAATCCCTTCCTAGTTTTGAGGATTGAACTCAGAGCTACATCGTCACACTTTTTCTATTTTATTTTGAGACAGGGTCTGTGAAGTTGCCCAACCTGAACTTGAACTTGAGATCCTTCTGCCTTAGCCTCCCAGAGTGCTGTAATTACAAGTTGCAGTACCATACCCAGCATATCCTAGACTTTCCTGAAATTTATTTTTAATTATTAATTATGATTTGCCTGATTTTACCTTAAAGTGAACCAAAAGGAATCTAGAAATGTTAACATATTCGCTCACATGGAGAGATATGTGAGCAGATATATCTTGTATCTTGGGAAGAAGGTAGGTTACAAGAGCTTCGACAAGAGTCAGTTTTACAAAGGGCGACACAGACAAGCAGCAGTCATAGCTAATGGCTGTCCTCAGAGTCAGCTGGGAAGATGCCACAAAGTTTTGTGATAGAATTTGAAAATTGTAGTAGTTGTTCATGAATCAGAATTGTTTTATTTTCCCTTGGTTTGACTGAGTGTTTTATAATTATATTTCAGATCCATAATATACATACGGTTAGACTTTTATGTCTCTGAAGCATAAAAATTGAGAACTTAAAAATTATTGGACATTTAAAAAAAAATTTTTTGTGTGTGTGGCCAGCTCAGCCCACCAGGGGGCGGGGCTGGCTGGCATGTGGAGCTGGGGGATTGAACCGCTGTCCCTGTGCTTTGCTGAGCTTGTTCTAAGTAGGTGCTTTAGACCACTCAGCCATCTCACCAGCCCCAAAAATTATTGGACATGTTAAATATTCTAAACATCTCACTTATAAATAAGCAGACAATCTAATTTTTCTTATTGTAATGTAGAAATTTTTTCTATCTTCTAGGAGCTTCAGCGAACTAAGCAAGAAGTCCTTTCTTTGCGAAGAGAGAATTCTACACTAGATGCTGAATGTCATGAGAAAGAAAAGCGTATTAATCAGCTACAAACAAAAGTGGCAGTTTTGGAACAAGAAATTAAGGATAAAGACCAGCTTGTTGTAAGAACAAAAGAAGCATTTGATACAATCCAGGAACAAAAGGTCTTTAAAATTTTTCTAAACTGATAGTCACATTTTGTGATGCTTTCATAAACAAATATAAATGCTTTATTCATATTTTTAAAAATATTTCAGGTGGCATTAGAAGAAAATGGTGAGAAAAATCAAGTACAACTGGGAAAACTTGAAGCTACAATAAAATCATTATCAGCAGAACTTCTGAAGGTTTGTTTAGAAATTTAATGGTCTATTAATAATTCATTAGATTTTGTAGATACACCTAAGAAACTCTTTTACAGGCAAATGAAATTATCAAGAAGTTACAAGGGGATCTCAAAACTCTCATGGGTAAGTTGAAACTGAAGAATACAGTTACTATTCAGCAAGAAAAACTATTGGCTGAGAAGGAGGAAAAATTACAAAAGGAAGAAAAGGAATTACAAGATATTGGACAGTCTCTCCGAGCTAAAGAACAAGAGGTAGTTAATACTTTCTGCTTTTGTGTTCTGACTCTTGTTTACATTATATCAAGCTTTTTCAACTGTAGTTTTCAACATTCTACTCTTCTTTGGTATTACAGAATAGCTTTGGGCGGTTTTTTTAAAGCGCAACTGTAGTCAACAGAAGTTAACCTATCTTACTTAGATAAGCTGGTTGTCATGACTCAAATACTTAGATTACTGACATTTGTACAGAATGTACGTATTTCATTACATAGTTGGGCTAATTCCTTTGTCCACATTTAATAGTATTAGTAGCTTTCATTTAATTAATAGCAGTACATTACTTCAGTTTTTATTTTGACCTTTAGTTGACTTACCCTGATAATTAATGTTTCAGATATGCAAATTACAAGAACAATTAGAAGCTACAGTTCAAAAACTTGAGGAAAGCAAACAGCTTCTAAAAAACAATGAAAAGTGTAAGTATTTTATATTTTTATGTGAATGAAGCTTATAGTTTTATTCTTAGCCTGTAATTTGAGTTCATGAAGGCATAGGTCAATCAAGATACTGCTATGTACAAATCAGTTCAGTTTTAAATGTCTGAATGTCTCTGCTGTAGTAAATTATATCATATACACTATAAAAGTTAGTGTCAAAACTGTTATGTGTAAGCAAAATAAAGTGAAATTTTAACTTAATTTGTGTTTAAATTTGCCACTACTTTCTAAAATTACTATTAACCTGATAGTAATATGAATTTTTTGAAACTAAAATGTAAGATTAAACTTTTATTTATTTTTAAGATTAAACGTTTAAAACTAACATGTTTTCAGGGCTGGGGAGATGGCTCAGTGGAATAAGCACTTCCCTGGCAAGCACAAGGGCCTGAGTTCAATCCCCGGTTCCTCAAAAAAAAAAAAAAACAACTAACATGTTTTCATTTCCTAGGACTAGTTGTCAGACATAAAATTGTGAAGTTTAAATGAACTGTAAGGTAGACTTATACAAGTAAAAACTTTCAAAGAGATTTTGGGCAGGGTATGATGGTGCACATCTGGAATCCAGTACTTAGGACGTAGAGGCTAAGATTTGCCAGTTTTAGGACAACCTGAGCTGTACATAGTGAAATCCTGTTTTACAAAGAAAAAAGATTTTTTTTTTTTTTTTTGCTTCGCATGTCTTCAGGGCAGGTTTGGCTGGCTTGAGTTGTGGGGATCGAACCACAGCAACCTGAGCCTGACTGCTTTGTCGAATCAACCACTTAAAGACCTGAGCTAAGGGGCAGGCCCCCAAGAAAAAAGAAAGGATTGTGTACTGACAGTAACAGAATGAGGAGTCCCGTAGGGATCCGTTGGTCTTACTGCCATGAGTTCTGCCTTGGGAGACATGGCAGCATGAATGAGAAAGAATGACAAGGCAAAAGCTGGGCTAGGTAGGCGCTAGTATGTCTGATGGGCAGCTCAACCCACGATCCTTTATTTATACTTTTGCAAAGCTAGTAACACATGGTTGCCTAGTGTCTAATAGCTGACCTTTATCAGACAGGATATTTATCTCAAGAGTGAGGTAGCTTGTTTGCTTTAGGCACTGAGGCCCAATCCCACCTACACACATTGGTTAATTTCCTAGCTTCCTGTGGCTCCCAACAGAGTTCCATGTTGGAAGTTGTTAACAAAATAAGAATTTTACCCTGACTAACTATATATACTGATACCTGTGAACTAAGCAACTGCACTGCAGATGGTAATCTGTAATAGTAGTTTCATGCTTGGAGTGCCTGTCATTCTAGTCTTCTGAATACGGGCTGCTTGTTATGACATGCCAGTTGCTGCTGTGAAGTCTCTCAGGTAGATGGTTGTTCAAAAAGAAGGGGGTAGTGAATGAAAGCAAAAGACAGGAAAAGGAATATTGTGGGACTGTCCTGCTTCAAGGTTGTATATGGTGAGATTTTTGGACTTACGTGTGAACATAAGAAGTATATAGTTCTTTATGTCTATTTTTAAACTATATTCTAATTTTTAAATTTTTTTAAATCATATTCTGTAGGGACTTAAAGTTCAACATATCAATACTTGATGAAAAATACCTGTAACAGATTATGCCTAAGATGTTTGATATGCAGACAGATAGTGAGGTTAAGCTTAACAGCCTAAGTTGTATGGTAATAACAATAAACTTGTCTTCTGGAGGGTTAACAACCTAAGTTTGCAGACCAAAATTAGATGAAAAGGAGGGCTGCAAGGAAAGCCAACTATTTGGCCCTAGCCTTCCAAGGTCAATTAAGACTCAGGACATACAAGAATTTGTACTGTTATGTCACGTAACTCGGCAGTGTCCCAAATTTTCTGATCAAGGAGATTATGGGGCCAAAGAGGAAAGAGGATGTAGAGTGTGCCTAAGAAGAGTCACATGGAGAGAAAACACTCTCTCAGGCTTTCACAGAAAGCACATTGGCCAAGCAATGGCCGTGACTCATCCACATGGCTGACACTGACAAACAATCTGAGGTACAGGATCTCAGGATAAATCCTGAGGGGATTTCTCTGACCTTCTCAGACCCAAAAGCTACAACTCTTGTTGCATAGGTCCTGCTTTACCTTTGTCTTAACCACCCAGCAGAAAAGTATAAAAACGAAATATAAGAAGTAAAGCCATGGTGTTATGTTGAGCTGTAGGGGACTCAGGTCAACAATTTCTGATATTGCCAGTGAAGCGGAAGACCCAATGCTATTATGGGCTACTGAACTCTTTTAGATTATTTTGCTGAGTTTACACACCTATAATATTCAAATAACAGAACTGAAAAAAGGGGATACAGATGAATGTCCATTTTCTATCTGTGTATTCAAAATGGTTAGGATAGATATATAGTTACATTCTCTTCATGAACAGAGGGATTTGTTGTAATAGTGTTTGTAGATAGGGTATCATGTCCGCATCTTGTACAGTAATTAACCACTGGGAAGAATGTATACAATGTGTTAATTATTGAAACTGTCCTACCAATTTGATTTGAAACTGTCTCATTGCTATTTGTTTATCAATAAAATTATGGAAAAAAAAAGAATTGTAATAAAGCCCCCACCAAAAATAAATACGTAAAAAAATAAAACATCGCTTTTCCACTGGGGACACAATACAAAGAAAAAAAAATCTTTAATTATAAGAATTTAGTGATATATATACTATTCATATGCTATAATATAAAGCACTTGTAAAAACTTGACATTTAAAAAGCTTAATATGATTTTAGACATTTTAAATGATTATAAAAACAAGTCAACTAAAATCCTTTCTTGTTTTCTTATGTTAGTAATCACATGGTTAAATAAAGAACTAAATGAAAATCAGCTAGTGAGAAAGCAAGATGTATTGGGACCTTCTACCACTCCACCTGCACATTGCAGCAGCAGCACAAGCAGAAGTGGAATTTCTCCCAGTCTGAATGTGGTAAGATGTAAAGATAAGATGTGAGTGATATTAACAAATTTCTTGAAGCAAAAATAATTACAGATTTATAGGAAGACTATGACTTCTTCAAGTGCCCTTGCTAATATAGACTGGAAACTTGATATTAATAATAAAGCAGAAAGTGAGTTGTCCCTAAAATAAGCTGTCTCACTAGCAAAGCAGCTGTATCTCAAGAGCATACTTCTGTGTAAAGCTTTACTATTTCATTAAAGTAATGCCGAATGTGCTGAAAAGCTTTAAAATACATGCACATGTGCATGAATACATAGAAAACATTTAGAAGGCTTCAAGAAGAGAGAATTTAGGATTAGGCCTCCAGTTTGAAAGTACAGTGGAAAAAGCCTGAACTGAGTTCTGTTAGTGGGGAGAGGGAGGAATCTATTTGCAGTCTTGTCAGCTTTAGAGGCTAATAAACTGGTTATATGATGTAAACTCTCTGGCTCCTAAGACGAGAGCTCATTGAGTTCTTCCTTGCAAGGTGTCAGAGAAGAATTTAAAAATCAGTTCCTACATGTGGAGGTGCCTGGTATTATCAGGCAGCTAAGCCTAGGAGCTATAAAGAATGCGCCTCATACTCACTTGGGCTCTCCTATTGAATATAACAATTTCGGACAAGGTCATTCTATAGCCATGATGCATCAAGATAACAACGAAAACCATTGTATAGTCATGTTTGAATATAGATTAAAAACATTGCCAACTCACAAAAATGGCCAACTATCCTGTTTTGGCTGACATAAATGGTTGCTGCTGCTTTAATCAGGTAGAGCTTTTTTCTGCCATTTTAGACTGCCATAAATTTGTCCTTACTTTCTCTGATCGCTTCTAGTTCATGACAAATATCTTACTCACTTTGTTAAATTTTTCCTTCAGTAATCAGACACATATCTAAATCCAATCACTAATTCCCTTTTGACATTTACCGAGACACCCCATGTATGTGGTCTCCTTCATTGCAAAGAGCAGTAAACCCAGCTTTTATATGACAGATGTGTACCTAGTGTACTTTGGCTGGAGGGCCTTGGCAGAGAGTATAAATTCCAAATGCCTAGCTGAAAATTTTTCATACCACGCTGCATAGCTACATGCCCAGTCCTTATTTATTTTTTCAAAGTGTCTCAGTTGCACAGTCTTGAGAGACTTCTGCGTTGACCTCACAGAGTGCTAGGATTACAAGCATGTGACAACTGGCCTAGCTGTATATACTACATAACTAAAAAAAGGAAGAATTGCTACTAGATTGGAAAATGGTGCAGAAAAAAGTGCCTGAGACTGAATTATAAACTTGAAAAAAATTCTGTAGGCTTAACCTGAATGACTGATGGTAAATGGCTGGATGAAGGGTATTTGCACTGATGGCCACAGGGGGTACACAGTTGCTTTGTAAGGTCTGTTTCATGTGGCCTCTTATACAAATAAACTTTGATTTGACATTGATGGTGCTGCTAAGCAAGTAACTGTCTGACTTAGCCCATTAAAAACATTAATCTACCTGGGCTTGGTGATGATGCTTGTAGTGCACCTTAGAAGCTGAGGCAGGAGCATCATTATGAGGTCAAGGCCAGCCTGGACAATTATGTTGTGAGTTCAAGCCCAGCCTGAGCTACCTAGTGAGACTTTGACTCAGGGGCAAAAAACCCCATTAATTTTCTTTTTTTTCTTTTAAAGAAAAATTTAAAAATGCGATAAATATGATACAGAATTTTAAAACAAGATGATAGGAAATTAACAATGTTATATTGCATATTATCTTCAAAGTAGTTGTTCAGATTACCAGATATAAACATGCAAAAGTAATCAAACAATATGAACTGTTCCTTTCAGTGAACTAATAGTTATTTTAGCTATCGTGTGTGTGTGTGTGTGTGTGTGTGTGTGTGTGTGTGTGTGTATTCCTTCCTCCTTTCCACCATTCTAGTTATTCTTTCGTTATGAGCAGTTTCTTTCCCTTTCACAATATCTATTGTACCTACTCTTTCAGTTTATTGTGGTCTTTGTCAGTCTAGCAGCAAATTATTTTTATTTATCCCTCGCTGTGCTACTAATATGACTCCTATAAAGCATTATGTAATAAAGCAGAGTTTTGTGGTATCAAGTAAATAAAATATGTCTCTGAGATAGTGCTGTTGTTATTAACAGATGCTAATGCCTTCTAGATCAGCAAGTACTATTTAGAATAATTTCTGATCCTTAATTTTTTTAAATGTTTTTATTTTTAGATTGATAATAGACTTGCTTATCCAAGCTGTGGGATTGGTTATCCTGTGTCCTCTGCATTTGCATTCCAGAATGCCTTTTCTCATCTGATACCTGCCAAAAATACCATCCACCCAGTTTCAGGACCTAAGGTAGACAAATTACTAGGCCCTTTTATATATGTGTGTGTGTGTGTGTGTGTGTGTGTGTGTGTGTGTATTTCACCTTTAAAATGTTCATTCATTTATTGATTAGTTTCTGAGTGTTAGGTAATGCATTAGATGAATGTTACTGAATATCTAGTGTATAACATGTTTCTAGTATAACATGTACATGCATGTTTATGTTTCTTGAGTCATTCTAATTAATAAAAACTAAAATCATTGTGCTTAAACTTTATTCCTGTTCAACCTCTGTTTTTATTCATTTTCTTTTTTTTCATTTTCTTTAAATGTACAAGCCTAACTAGGATTGATACTGGCGTATTGGATGTAGTAAGGACTCTGTTGATAGAACTATGGAGCAGGCTAGCTTATAGCAATTTCTAAATTGTAGTGCTGGTGACATCTCATAACAAAAGGTCCTTCCAACCCTTGATTTAATTAGTAAAGCTTTTTCTTCATACTTAAGTCATCATCAGTGTTATTATTAATGTCTTAGATTTATATACTTTTATTTTAAACTAAAAATGATACAGAATCTCAAAACAAGATGATACGAAATTTAACACTGGTTATTAAATTGTATATTGTTATCTTTTTTTTATGTATTTAGTACAGGGTCTCACTACACAGGTTGGACTTGTAGTGATCCTCCACTTTTCAGCCTGCCAAGCGCTGGGATTACCAGTGCATGCAGAGGCGAAGCCAGCACTGCATACTGGAGATCAAACCCTGGTCTCTGTGCCTGCCTAAGCAGGCACTTTAATCCACTGAACTCTCTGGCTGGCTTTTACATGTTGTTATCTTCTAAGAAGTTGTTCAGATTACCAGATACGGGCCTGTAAAATTGATCAAACAAGCATTAACTTTCTTTTGATAAGCCAGTAGAACTTAGTAGTACAATTATCATAGCGCTCTTGTGCATATACACTATATATTTTTCCCCTTTTTCTTTTCTCCTTTTTCCCATCCCAGGTGTTCTTTCTTTTTGAGCAGTTTCTTTCCCTTTGAGCAGTATGTATTGTATCTTTGAGATTTTGTTCTCTTTGAGTTCCTTACATTAGTAAAACAATATAGTATTTACACATGGGAGTCTGACTTTTGTCACTTATGAGTTTGATCTCTAGTTGCATCTATTTACCTATAAAAGCCAAAAGTTTGATGGCCACTTGAGTTGTTTCCAAGATTTAGCTAAGACAAATTACACTTCTATGAACATGGATACACATGTATCTCTGTTGTATGTTGTTTTCAATTCTTTTTTTTAAGACTTTTTTTTTTTTTTTTTTTTTTTTTTTTTTTTTTTTTTAAGACTTTTTTTATTTGTGTGTGTGTGTGTGTGTGTGTGTGTGTGTGGCCAGCTCAGCCCACCAGGGGGCAGGGCCAGCTGGCATGTGGTGCTGGGGGATCGAACCGCGGTCCCTGTGCTTTTTTGCTAAGCTTGTTCTAAGTAGGTACTCCAGACCACCGAGCCATCTCACCAGCCCTGTTTTCAATTCTTCCGGAAAAATATCCGCAAGGGGAAGAGCTGGATCGAATGGGACCTCTAATCCTAGTTTTTTGAGGAGTTGGTTTTTTTTTGGAGGAACTGGGGATTGAACTCAGATGCTTGCGCTTGCCAGAAAAGTACTTATTCTACTGAGCCATCTCCCTGGCCTGAAGAGTTTCTACAGTGGTATCAGTCTACATTTCCACCAACAATGGAGAACGGTTCTTTTTTCCCCACAGCCCCTCCAGGATTTATTATTGGTTGACATCTTGATGGTAGCCATTCTCTCTGAGATGAGATGGAATCTCAGTGTTGTTTTAATTTGCATTTCTTAAATGACCAATGATGCTTAATATTTTTTTATATATTTATTTGCCATTTGTATTTCTTCATCTGAGAGTGTACATTCATCTCAAATGTCCATTTTTGGATTGGATCTTTGAATTTGGGGTACCTGTTGTTTTTTTTTTTTTTAACTCTTTATATGTTTTAGATAGAAATTCTTTGTCTGAAGGACAGTTGGCTAAATTTTTTTCCCTATTTGTGGGTTTTCTTTTTACTCTGTTGGTGCTTTCTTTTGATGTGCAAAAACTTTTCAATAAGATCCCAGTTGTTGTTTGAAGTATTCCCCATATAGTTTGTTTTTTCTTCATGAGCTCTGCCTTCCCCTATGTCTTCAAGATTTCTATCTACTTTCTCTGCCAGTAGATTTAGCATTTCTGTTTTAATATTTAGCTCTTTGATTCATTTTGACTTTAGCGCATAGTGATAGACATGGGTCTTGTCTTAGTCTTTGACGTGTGGAAAGTCAGTTTTCCAGCACCACTTATGAAAGAGGCTGCCTTCCAGTGAGCGTGTTTGTCCCATTTGTCAAATATAAGGTGGCTGAATGTGTTTGTAGTTGTGTCTGTGTAGATTTATGTTGTTACTGTGTATATTTTCACAATCATTGAATCTATTCAGATTAGTCCTGCTTTATTTTCATTTCAAATAAAAGAATCAAGAGCTTTGAAACTGGAATTACAGAGTATCAAATTATTTCTAGGCTGCTTTAAAAAACTGTCTTTGTCATTTTAGGTAACAAACCTGGTGCTGTTGAGATGTCTCAGTGAAGTAAGATGTAAGCCTGAGTGTTTATGAATACTGTTATGTTAAGAGAATTTAGATAATTTGTTCTGTTTGCATTGCTTATTAAGGACAATTAGAAATGTCAATTCAAAGAAACAACCCCTGTTATATGGCACTTGGTATACTGGTGTACTCCAGGGTGCCAAACCTGTGGCACATGTTCTGCAGTTAGCAGTTCGTTTTCACAGGAATGTGACTCTTGGGCCAGTTTCTTCTTGAGAATTCTGATTGAATTCACAAGGTTTTTTGTTTGTTTGTTTTGCTTTCTGTCTTAAACTACAGGTAGTTGACTAGTTGGATGTTCTTGAACATAGAGACAAGATTGTCGGGCTTTTTGGGTTAGGTCTTGCTGTGTTGCCCAGGCTATCCTCCTCATTCTTCTGGCTCAGGTGCCCAGGTGTCTAAGATTACAGATGTGCCAGTGGCCCAGTTCCTTAATCCTGTTTCATCATTTCCATATTCTTTTCATCATGTGCCTTCAGTGGCTTGAAGTAAGATGGAAAAACACTTTGCTTTCAAACACGTGAATATTTATTTGTGAATTGCACGCATATATTGCAGAACTGCAGTATTATGTGCAATATAATTTAGGGTTAAGAAAATACAACTGATGTTAGGGTTTAAGTCTTGCTCCTGTCAGTGTGAAGTTAAATAAGCCACTAAAAGGTAAAAAGTCAGTGAACTCTGCTGGGTGTGATTGTCAGGCAGGCCTGGACTACATTGCAAGACTCAAAAAAAAAATTAACTCTCATTCTTCAGTTTCTCCTTTTTTTTTTCTTTCTTTTTTCAGTTTTTTGTCTTCTTGATACAGGGTTTGCTATGCAGTTCAGGATGGCTTGAGCTCACTTTGTAACCCAGACCATCCTCAAAATTGCAGTGTTATTGGTCACTCAGTACAGGAATCAGATCAGCCAGATAGGAGTTTTATGAGCCTTTTTTAATGAGCTCAGGGTTGTCAGCCAGCTCTCACACAGGCCTGAGCGACCTTGAAGGCAGGTAGCAGAGAGTTTATATAACAAGAATCACATGCTGTTTGGTAAGGGAATTTGTTATCTAGCACAGAACAACAGAAAACTACATTCATTTGACACAACTGCAAACTGTTTGTAACTAAGGGGTCTTTTATGGTAAGATACACTTTAGCTACGTTGTTAGGAGATGGTTAGGGAGGGAGTTTGTTTCAGCTTGCTGCCTTGACAAGAAACAGTCACTGCTAAACAGCCTTGAGCAGGGAGTGAGAACTCATTCCTTCGAGTAGATAACAGGAAACACAAGGTTTTTCTTAATTTCCCATAGGTAAAGCACAAAATTCAGTTAACGCATTATAGCAGCACTCCTCCTGCTTAGAATCCTGAGTACTGGGATTACAGGTATGCGCACCATGCGCACCGTGCACTGGTTTCTCCATTTTTTAAATGGAATGATAATTTTATATATCTTACTCAATTATTGGGGTAAGTGAATTGATGCATTTGCTTAAACATGATTAAAAGCTGCATAAATCTGATTTATTACTAGTGTATTAAAAATAGAAATTAAAAAATGAGATTTAAATGTATATAAATTATAGTTACATGCTTTTTCTTTCTCATCTCTGGATGATCCTCATCTCTACCTACTTTGATGACTGTTGATCTAGATTGGTAGTCTTGTGTTAGCAACTTTTTACTTTACATGTTATATTTCAAATAAGCTTTTTTGTTTTTGAGACAGGGTTTTACTGTACAATTCAGGCTGGTCTCAAAGTCATAGTAATCCTCCAGCCTCAGCCTCAATTGCTGTGATTACAGGTGTGTGCCACCATGCCCAGCTTTGAAATAGTTTTTAGATAGAGAGTATATCTTGTTTATTCCCTGAGTTTTTAATTATTGTCCCCCTTTCTGACTTCTGTGGGGTTATTTCAATATTTTTACTATTCCATTTTAGGTTTTTTTATCCTATCTTTAGTTTTTTTCATTTTGATATTAGACATTGCACCCAAGACCTTCACATTAAGCTGCATTCTCCGTCTTCTTGTTATATTTTATTTTGAGACAGGATCTCACTAAGTCACTAAATTTTCCAGGCTGAGTTTAAACTTGTTATCTTTCTGCCTCAGCCCCCTAGAGTGTTGCAGTTACAAGTATGCTCAATTCTAAAAGCCTTTGGTATCCTGATTAGAGGTAGTTTTTTTGTTGTTGTTGGTTTTTTTTTTGCGGAACCAGGGATTGAACTCAGGCCCTTGCGCCTGCCAGGGAAGCGTATTGTACTGAGCCATCTTCCCAGCCTCTAGAGGTAGATTTTTGCATGTGCAACTTAGTCCTATTATTTAAATACAGGATGACTAAAAATTCCATATTTTTTCATTAATTTTTAAAGATAATACAACAGGACA